GGAAAACAGATGTTAATAATACAGGCTGAGTTCATCGTTCTAATTGGGATTTACAATGTCTCCCATATTCAGTTTAAAGCTTGGTAAAACCCCAATAGGCAGAATTCAGCTGATGGAATTGCAAATCAACTAGGACCACTGAGCTGACTGTCTCCATCAGCAGTGCCTCATCATCCTTGGGAATTTGTTTGAAGAACAGTATAGCCAGCAGACCTGAACCTTTGGAGTGCTGTGTGGTGCAAATGCTGGGGGTGTGTTCAGTCCCTGGTGGACTTGGTCTCCTCTCTGAGCCCCAACAAGGCTTCTGCCTGAAGTGTAAGGCTCTGGTAGCCCAAGAGTATAGAGCAGCAATTTTTTTCCGTCCTTTTTCATGGTGATGTATTCCATCCCACAACAGATGGTAATGCCTGGGTTTCCCAGACCCTGTTACTCTGACCAGCAGTTTGATGTGGAGGGCTGTGAAGAGGTGCTCTGTAGGGAGCAGGGTCTGATGGAATAAGCATTCAGTGAGACTGTGGCAGCAGCCTCTCAACAAAGGAAGCTTTCTTTGTATACTGTCCCAAACACTTCTGTTTTATGTGCTCGGTGCTGCTTTTCTGTAACCATAGTTTTTCAATTCCAATCCTGTTTTCTTCCTGTCAGTGGCTTTGCTAAAGCTCTCTTGATCCACCATCTTCCCTCATATCACATTTGCACAGCACTTCACTGATATTTTCCCATTTTCTTCCTCCCTGCCTTGACAAATGATAAAACGTAGGTCTCCAGTTAAGAATAAAAATTATCTGCTGGCTCATTCCTGATCTTCAGTTAGCAATCAAGGACAGCTGAATAACTGCCTTGGAAAAACCAAAAGCATAAAAAATAAGTGGAGTAACAAGGTAACTAACTTCAACAGTGATCTTTATAGAACCTGAGAAAAAATGGGGAGAGATCTGCTTGAGCAGTTCACAGCTTGTGGTAGGATCTGCTGTCAGAGCCACTGCGTCATTTTTTATTTGGTTCTCCTGAAATTTTGTCCTTTCTAAAAAATTGAATTAACTACAAAACAAAAATGAGTGACGTTTTCTAACACTCGGAGTTGTTAATCACAAGAATTAAGCTATTTTTCCTTGTAAATACTTTTTAAGGCTGAGCAAAAAGCTTCTCCTACGTGGTTCACAGCAGTTACATGTTTATTATGCCTTGCTGATAGTGCAGGAGAGTTCAAAATAGAAATGCCCAGGGTATAAACCTAACGTGAGGCTCTCTTCTTGCCTCAGACTTGCAGGACAGCTTAGTAATGGTATTTTATGTAGTTTCTGAAGTAGATATTTTTCTTTAAAATTATCTAGACTTTTCTTTTAAATTGATTTTCTTTTGGAATTTTACAAATTAAGATTAAAACCAGTTTAATTTGCTCTCCCACTCATTTATTTTCCAGATTCTTAAAAAAAATTATTCCCATTTGGACAGAAAGAAATGAAGATTTTTGGGTGGGTGTGAGAATGGATGGATTGGGAGATTTAAAGCCACACTTGGCAATCCCGCTCTCTCACATTTTATGAGACAGTAAAAATCTGCATATGGCAGATGCTCTTTTTTACAAGGGGAAAGAAACCCCTTGTAATTTAAGTCAGGATCTCTGGGACTCTGCTGGGTGTGTTTTTAGAAATTTTTCTGAAAATCATCTTTTAGTTTTGAAAACAGACAAATTGCTTGGCTAGTTTTTAGAATGGGGAATTGAATATAAAACTAGAATGCTGTGTTAAACAGTGTTATATGATAAATACAATATTGTTTGCAAGTACTGGCTCTTGAACTAGCAAAGGGATGGATGCTAAGGTGTTTTTTAGCTGCCAGACCCCACCCATCCTCTAGGATTAGAGGCTGTTCTGACCTACCTCAGAGGACAAATTTTTCAGTATTTCCTGGCATCACTCACTGTGTCTGATTTAATTCCCAGGGAGGGTGTGTATTCAGAGCAGGGTTAGGTGTCCAGTTCCACTCCACAGAAGTGGGAATATTGATGCTCTGGGAAAAGAAAGCACTGCTCAGAACCCCCTCAGAAACAGAGGCTTCAGAGCTGATCTTGTAGAGCTGTTTACACCAGGGCTGGGAGGACATTGTGACCTTTGGGCCTCCTGTTTAATATTGGCAGAGAACCTCCCATCTCATAGAAAGGATGAAGCAAGGCGGCGCATCACGGGACACAGAAAAACCTACCCTCACCTTTTAATCTGCTTTGAGTTTGCAATCAGAATAATGGATAAGAAATAGTAATTTGGATGGGGCAGCATAAAGCAGAGCAGGCTCTGGGTAAATCCAGCTGATTATATGGAAAGTCATTTCAGTGTTTGGATGAAGCCTGGCTGCATGGGATGAGGCAGAAATGCCAATGCTGCTGAGACAGTGGTTCTGAAGGACAGAGTCAGTCCTGGTGTTGTGAAGGGTGACCAGCACATGCAGTGTTGGTAGGGAAGAGGAGAGTCCACCTTGTCCTTGTCGTTTTTAAGGTGATGATGAGTCATGAAAACTCTTCTGAGGAGCAGGCTGAGAGCCAGGGTGATGCCGGGGAACTGGCTGTGGTAGAATCTAGGTGAATCACAGCTACTACATGTAAGAGAAACTGAGCTCATTAGAAAAGTTCATCATATTAAAAATGGAGGCAAAAGGTTGGAGTGGCAGATTTGGGATGTGATAGATCCTGCAGAAGAGTTTCTAAAGAGAATCAGGAGATGGAAACATGCAGACCCTGGTGGGGAACAAGAGGCCAAGAAGGAAGAATGTTCACTGTTAAAACAGCCAGTTAGAGATAGGACATCTGAGCTTTAATGAGTGTCAGCACTGGGGGTGGCTCTGGAGAAGCTAAGCTGGGACTCCAGCACCTAAGGACAGCATTAGAAATGCTTCAGCAAATAGAACATTCAGTGATTTGATGTTTGATGAATTGAAATCAGCAACCACAGAGGCACAAGGTAGGATAGTATAATTCTTTTTATTTAGAAAGAACTAATAATGTATTCGTCAGCATTTTAAGGAACAAAACAAAGTTCCCCTCCTTTGTGCAACCAGAGATAATGAAATCAAAGCAACTTAGGAAACTGAAAAATATTGTGAAAATAAATTCATTATTTTTCAGATTTCTGAAATGGCAATTTTGTTTCAATTTTCCTTGACAGGATTTTTGAGAAGTATTTTAAAGGGTATGTTTCAGGGAAATTTGACCCAAAAAAAATATGGTGACCCAAATTATGCCTTCTTTTTTTTCCCTGAAAAAGTTCTGTTAGTTCTGCAGGCATTAAAGCACAATGCTTTGCTTCAGGGTATTAGAATGTTCTTATTCTGGGAAGAGAAGACTGCCAAAAACCCGGATAAAAACCACCAATCTGAGGAAGAAAGTCAAAAGGATGTGGGTAGTGCAGGTGGGTAATGAAATGAATGGTGTGAAAAATCTCTTTGTGGTGAGAGGAAGAAAGAAAATGGAGAGTACAGCTGCTGACAGTCTTGTCATCATTTGGTTTGTGGAAGTCAGCCAGATCTGCAGGGAGAAGAGGCCTCGTGGAGCACATCTCACCTTCCAGGGGCGAGTGGGATGGGTGGGGACAGGCAGGGCAGGGCACTGGGAGCTGTGCTCGCTTTGGACCAGGCAATCAGGAATCACTTGGCACAGATGTGGATGTGAATTACTTGGTGAATTCAGCAGTAAGTTTCCAGACTGCCTCAGCAATGTCACTGCTGCTCTGAGGGTACCCAGGAGGCTGCAGACAATCCTGTAGCCAGAACGGAGCTGTGGCCTGAATTGTCACTCGTGGGGGTGCCAGCTGGATCCAGCTGCCTCTTCCATCAGTGGCACTTGCCTCCTCAGTCAGGCCACTTTGCCTTTCAGTGTTCATAACCAGAGCTGTGTGCAGCTGTCAGGAACAAACACTTCCAGCAGCTCCTTCTCTCTCCTGCTCCACACTGATCCGACCGGGCGCTGCACACACGTGAGGTTACTGCCTGCTCAGTAACTTGGAGGAGCTGTGTGACTCCAGCCTAAAGCAGTTTTGCTGTATTTCACTGCAAATTTCATTTCTTTATGATCATCAGCTACTAATTTTATTTTCAGCCTGTCTATTCTAAATAGCAGCTCAAAGCCTTTTACACTGGCTAAGGAAGTAATGATTTTCTCTGTAAAGAATCCTGTGGTTTCTTACAGCAGGAGCTTTATCAGAATGAAATCAGAAGCAGTTAATGGTGGCTGCAGGATTTGTAACAAGCATGTGAGCCAGGAATGAAAGCAGCATTGGGGTTTTTTTTAATTCTTTAGCTTTGAATTTTTTCCTGGTTCAGTGGATTCTTTTTTTTTTATTTTGGGTTTTTCAATATGTAGCATTAGTCTGAAGAAAATTAATTTCCTGTTGGAGTTATTCTAAATTGGAAAGTCTCTAGGCAAATTTACAGTATTTCTGTGTGGCACTGGTATTTTTGCCTGGCAGGACTGTTTCCATGTGAGGTGGAATCTTGCAGCCCTGTACCCATTTCACACAGTGCCTTATGAAGAGGAGGCCACAGCAGAAGGCATTGGAGATTGAAAAGTGAACTCTTGCACAGTTGCTGCAAAAGCCTTGCCTTGTGGCTAGGCTCCTTGCCCAGACAGAGGGATGCCAAGAGGTGGGAGAAGGGCTATCTGTGCCTTGCCTTCTTCTCTGACCTGGGCTTGGAGCAGATCCCCACAGACCCAGTTCTGCTGCTCTGGATGGCTCGGGATGGAGGACTCTGCTTTTCCACAGAGTCTGAAAGAGTCCTGGTTATTAAATCTTTCATAGTTCCTTTCTTCCTTTCCTCCAGAAACTGCATGTGGTACCTTCAAAGATTAGTTCCTTTCTTCCTTTCCTGCAGTGATAAAGGGAAGCTTCCAGAAACTGCATGTGGTACCTTCAAAGAAGAGGAATTCTGCACTGTTTACATGCATTGATGCTGATGTCTGTGAAATGGCTGGGTCGTTTTCTGTAATTCTCCTTTCTGCTGCTGTCTTCCAGGTGCACACGTTCAGGGGCCCGCATTGGTGTGAATACTGTGCCAACTTCATGTGGGGCCTCATTGCTCAGGGAGTAAAATGTGCAGGTAACAGTCATTCAGTGTTCTTTTCCTGAGTCATTCCTCACCCTGTAGCTCTGTAATGTGCAGCCTGCTGTGCCATGCCACTGGGGCTGGGGTCAGTCTGCTCCCTGTTCAATGGAAAGAGGAAATTTGCCCACTCTGCTGCTGCTGCTTTCAGGTATCTGTCAAAGTGACTCACTGGAGTGATGCACAGCACCCCTCCAGCACTCACAGAGAGGAGACAATCATCATTATGAGATTTTTTTTCCCCCCACCCTTTTAGAATGGAGGAGAAAGTAGATGCATAGTTAGCTTGATTTCTTTTACACCATTCCATGTATTGGTAGGTGTGAGAAAGTCATTGGGGATGTTGATGGGCAAGGTGGACCTCAGCAAATTCCACGTTGCTTCTGTCAAACAGACATTCAGGTTAATTTTATATATAAACCAGCTGTGTCCCAGCATGCCACAGACCCTAAATCGCATCTCCTACTTGCACACTGAAAAGGGATGATGCATAAGGGATGCCTGCTGAAATGTTACATAAACATTCAGGTGCTGGTAGAAGTGTATTACACGCCTGGGTATCACTGCAGGCATTTCTGGGATAAAGCCTCTCCAAAGGAAAGCAGTTGGACAGCTTTATTGATAAGGTTCTTCTGAAAGGAAAGGACAGTCGGCTTTCTTTCAAAGGCAAAGAAAAGGATCAAAGTGATCCAAATAGTTTGCTGTATTTAAAAAGTATTTTATGACATTCTAGCAAACCGTATTTATAAAAATGGTGCAGAGATGTTGATGTATGAAGACCTGCTTACGTTGCCCTGGAAACTGAATTTTCAAGCTAATTTAAGAAAATCTGCTCTGTCTAAAGCTTTCTGAAGTCTTGTCTCAAGCAAATAAGAAGGCTTTTTATCACAGACCTGCAAAATGATGTAATATTTAAAATCATTTCTAGCCACATAGGATTGAAATGTTTTTAAATTCTTCGCCCATAACTATTTGAATGCAATATTTTGTTGTTACCATTACAGTCTGCACTGTCCAGGACACATTAGAGAGTGCAGCTCTGTTTTAAGACATGATTATGCAAAAATGGCATTTCCTTTCTCAGTATTTTTCCTCTACTAAGAATACAGGATTGCAGCCATGTCCTCCACTTGTGAGTGAAGATTGTTAGTAGGTTTTACTGCTCTTGATTTTATACAGGGTGTACAGTGCTAGGAGAAGAAGAGAAAGCTTGATTTTGGTTTTCTGATTAGTATGTTTTTGATTACACTTGAATCAGTAAGTATGCTGTATTTATTCCCTGCCTTAGATTCCTCCATTTGGGCATTTAGGAGAGATATCAAATATTTTGCAGATCAATGTTAGGTAACTTTGATCCAGAAAAACAATAGAAATAAACGGTATGAAGGCTTGCAATGCTGCATGACACTGTGGAATTAATTCTGTTACTTTTACAATTAAACCCAAATTGCTTATTATTTTGTACTGCCTTTTTTTTTCTTTTAACTGAAGTACAGCTGATTTTTCTGGATTTATGCAGATTTTTCTAAATTGTGGATTTCCAAAAGCTTCCAAAATCTGGTTTTCTTTCCTCCTTCTGAGGATGGTAATAAGTACTGCATGCACCCATTCTCTCCTTGCAGCATAAGGATGTGTATTAGATGACTTCATAGGTTCAGAAACTATAATTAGGGCTTTCTGTCTTCTGTGAGGTTTCACATCAGCGTTGGTAGCTTCCAGTAGTTTCTATGATCTTATTTGTATTTTAAAATCCCACATTGTACAACCATGCTTGCTGAAGTGTCAGCAAGGATTTGGGTGGGTGAGGCTGCAGCAGCGTGTGCCCATTCCCACAGCTGAGGCCGTGCAGCCATCAGAGCCAGAAGCTGCCCAGATCTGGGCATTCCAGGGAAACACTGGAGCTGCACAGACACAGAAAGCAGCCCTGCACAGCCAGTGCTAATGTACTAATGTAGGGGAGCTCAGCCTTGAGTGGTGGGAGTTTGGCCAAGTTTGTGTGGTCTTACAGTGCTTTTAAAAAAAAAGTAAATTTTGCTTCTGAACTGAGTCTTTTTAATATGGAAACAATGAGGCACAGTAAGCCAGGAGCCACATGAGGCCATTGTTTTTCAGAGTGGGCTTGTACTAAAAAAAATAAATTACAGCTTTTAGCAGGATGCAGCCCACTTGAAATCAAGTGGGGTTCAATGCCACTTCAGGGAAATCCATGAAATCTGTTTGGTGGTCTGTATAATCATTTTATTGAAAATACCTACAAGCAAAACTGCATGGATCATAGGTAATTTTATACTTTTTAAAGCGTTTGCTTTTTATAGTTGCACATCTCAAGAGGACTTTATTTGCTGTACAGAAGCGATGAGTTTAACAAATAGAAATGGATTACTGCATAGTCTACTCTCAACCATTTAAAATCCTATTCTGTGCAGAAGCACAAAAACATGCAAAAAGAGAAGTGTAGGACAGTCCAAGACTGGACAGCAAAGATAAATGTCACCCATTTCAGAAAGGAGGAAGAGCCAGTGGAAAAAACAGAGTTTATTTCTAATGGCTGATAGTTTATGTTACACAAAGTAAGCCAATCCTTTAAAAAATTATCAGCCAGAACTAAACACTCCTAGGAGTACACATGCCATAGCAACCAGCAGGATGCCTTAGCAAATTCAACTGGAGTCGTGCTTTGTTTCAGTCCAGCATGGCTGAATGTGTCTCTGCCAAAAGACTAGAGTGTGGTCAGGATCTTGTCAGGTGCAGTCCTGTATTATTAGTTCCTGGAAGGTGGATTCTCCCTAACTTATCCTTGTTCAGGTTTTACGGTAGGTAAAGAAGGAGGACTGTGTCTTTTCCTACCTTAAAGAGGTAAATGTAGGCACCACATTGGACACCCGATGAGTAGTTGTTGGTTGAAATGAGATGTTGGGTGTTATCTGGACTGCAAAGGTTTGGGAATTAATACAAACTACCAAACGTGAGAGGAACTTCATTGTCTTCCAAACTTAGAACTTGGAGTAATGCCTGGGATTTGGATCCTGTAGGAAATTAATTGGTGGGTGTAGTATGTAGTCTGACTTCTGCTGAAGGTATCTAGCAAAACAGAAATAATTTCTTTTTTTCCTAAAATGTCATCCTCTCAAAACTGGTCTTTATTTCATCAGCATCTTTAAAGACAGATTTGCTTCCCTAGAGGGAATCCTTATAATAAATATCTGCCCTACTGCCTCAGAGGGTCATACTTCCAACTTTTGCATCCAAGCCACAGGCCCTTAAATTTTTTGTGAGATGAAGACACATCTGTGTGTGAGGAATCTGCTTTTTCTGATGGCATGCTCCATCTCTAGTGTGCTTTCCTGCAGGCTTTGACCATAAGTAGAAATTAATGAAGAAGTATTTATAATGCCATCACTTTGTGTAAACACTGAAGGTCAGTAGAAGTTAATGAAGACGTAGGATTTTACCCCAGAACAAAATCCAATGCATGAACTTAGAAAAATGTATTCTTAGCTACATTTCTCCTGTGTAAAGCTCTCCTATGTTCACAGGGCTTATCCCAATGTTCAGAAGATAAACTGTAACGGTATTCAAAGAAAATTTGCAGATGTGCACCAGCATGTTCTTTTTATGAATGACACAAACATGTAACTCACAGTAGCATTCCAGACCAGTGTATTCTCAGAGAGTGGAGCACTGCTGGTACTGTTCCTGTGCTACCCAAATGGACTGGCAGACTGGCAGATCAGTAGATTTGTCAAGCTGCCACCTGTCTCCAGCCCATCAGAGCTCTCCTTCAGCTAGATACCCTCTGTGCTTTTGCTTGTTGTTCCTTGTGTATAAGCAGTTTAATCAGAGGATTTATTTTTTAACAGGCTGGTTATAAAGCATTAATTAGCTTATCCTAAAGATATTTATATATATATATCTCTGTTTCCCTGGATGCTTTTGGTGGTATTTTGGTTTGCTCCTAATAACACCAGTGAGCACGACCCTCTGAGGCTGTACACAAAGCACCATTTCTGCAGCCTTCATGGTTTTGCTCCAGACTATCTCAGCCTCCTACACATGTAACATTTCCTGTCTTCTGCTTTCCTTGGAGCAGGTAAGTTCTCTCTGAAGAACTGATAGAAATTAACTTGCAGCTGAACTATCAGAGTGCAGATAACCAGCTCCCACTGACAGACCCCAAGCAATATTGCTGCCAGCCCTGACCACAATAAGATCTTGGAGTTCATTTTCAAAAGAGCTGAAGTACAGTCTCAAAGCAGGATTGTTTTGTGAATTACTGCTTAAGAGTTTAATTTCCCCATTTCTTCCATTTCCTTCTCCAACAATTGAAAGAGGTCTTCCACTTGCCCCATTTCCTTTGCTATTTGTTTTGCCTTGCTGTGCAATCCTTTGTGTTGGACAGTCCTGTGCTGGTCCATTGGTGTGTAAGGATGAAGGGGAGCACAAAGGAGCCTGTGCATCCTCAGGCACTGATTGTGCAGGCAGAGTGCTCACGCTTTCTGTGCCTGGAAAAACAGCTGATGCTCTTGTGACTGAAGTCAGCAAAGGGAAAGGCAAGGTGTTCTCATCACGTTGCCCACTCTCAGGGTATTTTGCATGGCTCAGTCATGAGAAGCTTCCCCTCTGCCCACGCTTGTGCCTTACAAACACATCCCAGCTCCTTCTGGGATGAACACCCGGATTCTGCTGGCTGTGGAATGCCGGGCACAGACAGCCCAGTAGAGGAGCAAAGCAAAGTCACAGAGGTCAGGGCTGTGGGAAGGGGGCTGGACAACAGCCCCTGCCCATCAGCAGGTGCTGATGCTGTTGGAGATGTGTGCTGCCTGACAAGCTGTTCCACCAGCTCGAGATCTGGTGGTGTTCCTGCAAGGAATGAGCTCCGGAATTTTGAAATGCTAATCAGACAGCAGAGCCTTGCTTCAGAGCCATTCCCCAGGGGAAGCTGTTCTGGAGCTATATATTCTTGAAGCTGTAAGTCCTAAAAGCAGCTTTATCTCCAA